TGAGGTGACATAGAACAGTGCATGAAAGCTCTGTAAATAAAATCCTTCTTAAATCAGGCCACATAATAATATAAGGGAGAGGCTTATTTTTCTCCAGGATTGTTCTTTATTATTTTAACATTCTCTCACCCTGAAACCCCTACCCCCCACCCCCACACTCCACTTATGCCATTTGGAACTTTCAGCTTGGGGTATCCTATTTATTTCTCGCAGAAAGGCAGATTAATTGAATACAGTTGTACAAAGGAGATGGTAATTTAACTCTACACCTGAAATAGTATAGAACAAGCATTTTCTACTTCAAGACAGACCTTAGGGAAATAGAATGACACTCCAGAAAAAGATGCGATTGGTTTGCTCTTGTGGTTGTTTATTCCCATAACTGTATTTTTAAAGAAGATATTTATGGGGGTTTTTTTTCCAACATTTTTAAAGTTTGGGGCTATTTTCTGTTTATATTATTTTAAAAAAAAAGTAATGTTAACCTCAGAAGGAAAGTTGTGCCCTTAAACTCTTGCCTCTATTTTGCACAGCTTTATCCATTTGCATACTTTCAAATTGGGTTTGTGCTGGGTGTGTTCATATTTTTGTCTTTTGCAAAAGAAAATATTTCCATGGAGTTTTTGTTTTCCCCCTCCTCTGTTTTGATTGGGTTTGCCTTGTTCATCCTTTGATGAATGAAACAAAGCTTGTTTGTGTTTCATCCTTCACAGTTCTTGTTAGAAGTGGTTATGTTGTTTTATTTTGTTTCCTTGCTCTGTGTCAGGAGGAGGAATTTTATTTATTTATTTTGACAAGATGCGCAAGGTACAATTCAGAGTACCTGCTAGGATGCTGACGATTCTTGTGTCACATTCTACAACCCAAAAGCTATTCCAAGAGGGGAGGGAAGGAAAAAACAACACACAATCTTTTAAGATGGTTCGTTTGAATCTGTGCACTCTACCCACCTGGTGGTTGTATAGTGAACTGTTACTTTAAAGAGTAGTTTAAACACCAGCCATGTTTGGGGCAGGCTGCTCTTGCAAAGAGAGCAGTACATATAACAGGAGTCTACTGTGTGGGAGATAAGGGGAAAATTCAGCTCACTGACTAGAGGTTTTAATGTGCGAACTCTAGGGAAATAATATATTGACTGTTCCGTGGCGTGCAAGAAAATTGAAGAACCCTTTGCAGACGGAGTGCTTTGCAAAGGATTCTATCTGTTTCTCTTAAAACAAAATCTGTGGCAAGATGTTTGAAATCAGCAGGACGCTTAATGCTGCTTTGTTAAATAATGAGGTAATATTTTGTCACTTTTTTCTGGGCAGCATCTGTTTTCCCCCTCCCCATTTCCCCCCTCCCCCTATGTTTATGAGGATTCTTTTTTTCTTCTTTTTCTTTTTCTTCTTCTTCTTCTTTTTTTTTTTTAATGGAAGTCAAGGAAATACAATTCACGCTTCCATTTCTGTTTCTTTCTTTCGGTGCTTTTGCGGAATTTGGTTGTCTTTTTATTTGCACTTTCAGCCGGCTGCTGTTTCCTAGCCCATTGTGCCACGTAAGGCTTCTCCACTGCGCGGAGTAGGTAGTTATTAACGCTGAATTGGCTTCTGGTACAGTCCATCTGGACTCTGTGTGGGAAAGCTGGCTGCCGGCGACTGATGCTGAGATATCTGCAACCTTTGAGATGTGTGCATGGTGGCGAGGGGCTGACTGATATGAGATTACTTCTTTTAAGGGAAATTGTTATTAATGAGTCAAGAAACTGCTCATTTATGGTAAGAAGGATGCAGCGGCGCTGGCAGCCCCACCGCTCTGGGATATCATTTTTAGGTTGCCTTAGCTGCTAGAGTGAGACAAGTTTCTTTCTGTGGTGGTGAAGGATTGTGGCGGAAAAAAATAAAATCATGCATGACTGGGAGACTCGCCTGCCGGATTCTTGAGATAATATATTGAGAATCTGTTGCTTTACAAATGTCACACCACTGATGTAGCGGTCAACCCCTCACTCTGAAAGATGAATGGTACTATTGGAAATGCAATAATAAGGTTGACTTTTCCCAACAATAGGATTCTGCCTTTGTCTTTGGAGAAAAGGCCTCTGAGGACATTTGTTCATTTGTTTGAGGATTCTGTTGAAAGACTTTAGAGTAGAGGTTTTTGGATAAGTGATCAATATACAAAGTGCATGGATTTTTTTTAGCCTAGTAAAACCAGCCTATTTATATGGTAATACGGAGTTAATATTTTGGAAAAGTGGCCAGAATATCTTTTGATATACCGGCTATTAATTTATGGTTCAATAAGTGTGCTGAGATTAGTATGAATAGGAGAAAAGTATTTTAATAAATTCCTTCTCTTATAACCTCTAGAGAAATACAAAGTAAATATTTTGCTCCAAGCTAGCAGTTTTTATTTGTGTGTTTGTCAGCATTATGCTCTTGTTTACTTTTCACAACATTTTGATGTCGGCGAGCTTGCACTCAGAGTTTCTGCTGTTGATTTGGGGCACCTGTCTTTGCCCTGCATCATGTATGTTGAGCTCCACTTAACCTGTGGTTCATCTTTAGTTCAGAAGTCAACAGTAGTACGATAGTGACTCAGGACTCTATACATTTGCTAAAGAAATTGTTTTTAAAGTTTGTTTAATTCAGTATTGTTTAACTTTAAAGGATTACAGTTTTAATATGTCCATCTTTCTCATTCATACATTTTAATTTCTAATAGCTGAATTTACTTACAGTCAAATCTAATTCACATCGCGTATTTAACACATTGTTTTGTAATATGTCTGCCTTTTTAAGAATATGTATTTATATGTGTCTTTATTGTGTATTCATGAATAGTAGCTTGGAGACAATAATTTTAATTTTTTGATGTAAGGGTTATTTTGTGATAATTTTTCAGAGTCCCTTACATAGGTGGACTTTGAAACCCAAGGTATAGCATCATTTTCGGCCATCATTTCTGTTTTGCCCAGCATTCTCTCACTATCAACTTCAGCCAAAGATTTAAAAGTACATTGAATTATGTCTTCGATAAAATCTATTACTTTTATGTGTTTATTAAAAGGCAGATAGATTAAATTTAAACTCAATAAATGCTGATAAATTAGTCTTTCTGATTGAAGTACAGCATAAAATCCTTAGGTGAGACACTTAAAAACCCAAACCCAAACAAAAAACTGTACTGTGGAAGTGTGGAAATGTAGATGTTATAAAACGTATAGGTAGATAAACTGTACACGTCACCCTCTCTTGCCGAAGTTCTCTCTGCAGGTCTTTTAAGAGGCAAAAGAGAAAGACAACCTTTGAAGGAGAGAAACAAAATCACATGTTCGGTTAAGAAAGATGAGCACTCTCCACCAGTCACGAAATGAGGCAGTTGTCAAAAGCATCTTTTACCTTTCTCTATTAGCAGAAGAGGAAGCGAGGAGAGAATGTGCTTTAGTGGTTTTTTAAAAATTCAGATCATGCTCCTATCCAAGTTGAGAAATAAATTCATCTAAATAAATCATTCATCATTCTCTGTTTTGAAAAGCTCAGGCAGAAGGCAGAAAGGTAGAGGCTGACAGCTGCCCCCTCCTCCCTTCAGCTTTTTCCCCCTTTTTTGTTTACTAGGAAACAGTTTTCTGAAGCAAACTTGTATGAACCTAGTTCACTGAGAAAGCACAATTTCAGACTGGTTTTTTTTTTTGGAACCGCTGGTCATGTTAACTTCAAAGATGCATCACTTAGTAAAAATCAGCTATAGTGGAAAATAAGAAAGCTAAAATGTAGACATATTAGCACATTAAAGTGCTTTTGTTGCATCTTAAAGCCTAGAGGCAGATCATTAAATATGCATTTAGCTAGAAAGCAACTGTCGAGAAAGATAAGGTGGCTGAAAATATTCTGTAGGGGAAAAGCCCTCCAGGAGAGGGATGGGGTATGACCCTCCGGACAGGAGAGAAGGAGGATCCTCCCACTGCTAAGATTTGCTAGCTGCTGGTGACCTGCAGTTGTTACAGTACTTTAGAGTTAGGAGGAGGGAAAAGGTAAAAATACAAGTATGGCTGTTGTTGCTTCAGCCTGGCCTTAATTACCAGACACAAGAAGCAGTTCAGAAATCTGGTCTCTGTTGTTGTAGAGGTCACCAAATCATTAACATCGTCAATCTGGCAGTAGCTAATTTAAATAGCACCTGATGTTGCAACGCCTCCCGTCGTCTCCCCAGCCAATCAGGTCCTGGCTTCTGCTGACAGATGGTCCCATAAATGGATGTAAAAAGGGGAAGCTTCGAGCCAATTTCAGTAAGGCTCTGTTCAGTTGTTCTTATCTACATCCTAGAATCGGGGTTTCAGCTCACTGCTCCTTTTCTTTCCTTTTTTTTTTCTTTCTTTGCCCCCAGACCCTCCCTCCGAAATAATAGATTTGCTTTACAATCATCCACACTGTGTTTTGTGGATCCTTAAATATATATAACAATAGTAGTCCTTTTAAATATATATCCTGAAACCTTTGCAAATTTTTAAAGAAGAGTCGAAGCCCTGCGAGACCCAAAATTTGCCAATAAGAATGGTTATGGTAGGTATGACTAGATTTATAATCTGTTGTGTGTGTTGCTGGAGGGAGAAAAGCATCTACACCTTGTCCAGTCTTATGCTTGCACAAGAGTTTAGTTCTCTGCCGCTGTTTGGTTTCTACATTTACTATCTCTTTTGTGTAGAGAGTGTGGGTAGGACCTTTTATTGAAAAGCAGTGGGGGTGTAGATTGTCATTTTTAAACGGTCATTGTCAATTTTCCCTTCAACATAAAGGCAGGGGTGGTGGTGGGGTGGGGGAGGTGGGCTGAAATAATTGCTGGTTTGTTGAAAGAGGTTATATTACATGAAACCATCGTGTTAAAAGAAGGGTTTTCTTTTTGTCAGGAAAAGGGGGTTTATCTGTTTGCCTGGGTTTTGGGGGTTGTGGGTGTATGTATCGGGGTTAGGAATCTCTCCGTCTCCGTGCTGGAAATTTAAACCTCAAGAGGCAGCTCCTGGATGCTGAACGTTGAGATGGGCAGTTGTGTCTGGGGGGGCTGCGCAGTCAAAACGGCAAAGAGAATGATTTATTTGGGCTTCAGTAAATGCTGCATCTTGTATTTCAAAGAGTTTCCTGTCATGACCTCATAAAAAAGAGGAGGCGGCTTGTATGTGTAGCGGTGCCTTGTGTGTTGAGTTGTTGCTTCCTTCTCTGGGCAGCAGCTCTGTAAGAAGGAATGTCAGCTTTTACATAACGTTCCTTTCCGCTTTTGACACACTGTGTGAGGGTCCATCTTCTTCTGATCACAGATGGAGTGGAATGGCTTGAAGATGGTAAGTGAAAAAGGAAGACAGCTTGGAGATTTCAGCCGTGTGTGTGTGTGTGTGTGTGTGTGTGTGTGTGTGTGTGTTAGACTGTGTATTATAAATCACTGTGCAGATCGTTTGTGTGTGTATTAGTATTTCTCTTTTCTGAAAGCCAGAATCCATCTCCCAAGTCTAATGGAACTGCATGCACACAAGGCACACACTGCCTCTTCCATTGAATATATTTTTGTCAAGCAAGGTTGGTGTCTTTTTTTGACAATCACAATGTCACCATTGCTGTTGGCTGGCGTGTCCACAGGCTCCGTGAGCCTTCAGAAGAATTACACCACTGTTCAAGTTAAAGGCACATTTCTTTTTCAGTCTCGTTCTAGGAGTGATGGGGAAGGGTGGGAAAGAGGGGTGGAGAAGGTGAGATTTAATACCAGCAGATGCGATTGAGAAACAGGACTTTGGGATGTGGAAAGGAAAGTGGAAAACCTTTCTGCCGGAGTAGTAAGCCTATTTTTAGCATCATCTTTTTTGGGGGGGTGGGGAGTGGGATAGAGGAGGAAGTAGGGAAACTCCTTGAGTATCGCTCCTGCTGCCTGACGGTGACCCTAAAGATATGGCACAAAATTGAACGATCTGCTGCCACGAGTGCCCACTTTGAATTTTTACCAACAATAGCTTTCTTAGGTTATAAAGCTTGGGGTGTGTGTGTGTGTGTGTGTGTGTGTGTGTGTGTGTATGTTGGGGGGGAGGGTCTAAATTCATATCCATCTCACTTATCTTTCCCTAGAAAAGCCTGGGAGGACTTTTTGCTTTGCATAGATGTTATAACAAAGCTGTGGTCTTTTTCCCATTCTTAGAGGATTGCCTTTGTCTGGCTGCTTGTTTTGATGGGTGTAAAACAAATAAGATTAGACCGAGCAGCCCAACTGAAAGCGATAGCTGGGAGGAAAACCCAATGAAAGGTTGCCGGGGAAACGAACAGAGGAAAAGCCGAGTAGGGAGCAGGTGGCTATCATGAGAACACACTGCAAACAGTGTAAAAAAAAGGGGGGGGGGGTGGAACAGGAACAGGACCTCGATTATCTTTGCTGTTCTTTGTGGCTAGCCCAACTTTAATTATTCCTTATAAATAGGTGTTAATTACATTTCTAACTCATTTGCAGTGATTTTTAGAAATCTATTTTTAAGCATCTGTTCTGTTTCCCTTGTTTTTTTTCTTTTTTGGGGGTTATTTTTTGGCTTTTTTTAAATTTAGAAAACAGAGGAGGGGGAAGGGAGGATAGAAAATCTCTCTCCTCTCTCTCTTTCCCTCTCTCTCTCTCTCTCTCTCATCTCTGCCCTCCCTTCCCTGCTGTGAAATTGTACGTGTGAAAAATTGCAAGGAATCCTGTGAGGCCATTTGAAAAAAAATGTAAATTATATTGAATGAAGTTGATGGAAGCATAATAGTGAACTCCTACAGTTGATAGGTTCTGTAAATGATTTCTTAGAAATTTCCAGCAAATATCCATAGGACAAATTAGGTAGAATAGATTTACCCTAAGCAATGATTTTGTGCTAGGTGATACTGGTATTTGTACTGAATCAGATGTTGATACTACAGTTCCGGGGAGTTTATTGTATCTCTCATCTTATATCCCAAGTAGGAATTACTTTGTAAAAAAATTAATGAGAAACTGTTCTATCCTTTTGCTTCATTCCCTCTCCATACTTCCAGTGACAGGATCTATCGGGTGGTATGCACCTTTGCAAACACTGCCTGCCATTTGACACTTGGTTCTGCTCTGGTCTTGGCATAAATTGAGTGAAAGGCTGGTATTTTTTTCTTAGTGTCTCTGAACATCTGGGACCCGTGCCTGCACTGGGTGACAGGAATTTCTCGCTGCTCCTCCCTGAGTGAGCTTTACTCATAGTCCTTTTCATGAAGGTGGTACCTGAAGGACCAAATGGTATAGTACTTAGGGAAATAGCAGGTAGAGTAAAAACCACTGTAAGGACAATATGCAACTGTCTCCTGCTCAGACACAAATACATGATCAAATAGCTGATTTTAAGCCCCAAAATGAGAATATTAAAAATATTGAACTGTGTATAAGATTAGTAATATAATAGTCTTTATGAAAATGCTCTTAATTTTAACTCTTAATGGCAAATCTTTGCACACACACCCCTTTTTTTTCTTATAGAGTTTCTTCTTTGTCTTCTTATTGGGAAAGTATTTAAAAGATTGCTCTTAAGTATAAATAAACACTTATACACGTGCATTAATATGTCATTATTAAAAATAGATTTTTTTATTATCACTATTGTAGCTTTTTATTTCCACCAACTATTTCTCATCCTCCCTTTTTTTTCAGCTGGGCAAAGTAATTTCCATAAGAACTGTCACTTTAACTTGGGTTAATAAAAAAATGTGATTCTACTGCTGACCTTTCTGACTGCTTTGTCTTAAGCATTGTTAAAATCTCTTATACCTGCTCATGGAGGTATACCTTTATGGAAGCATGAGGCTGAGCATACATTTATTAGGGAAGGAAAATCTGTTTGGAAATATTTCAGGAAAAAAACGAACACCAGACTACATCAGAGTTTTAATGATCAAAAATGTTCATGTATGTCCTAGTAATAAGATGATAAGTCATTTAGTATTTAAAATTTTGAAAAGGCAAAGTGGAATATAGGTGGTAAAATGGCTGAAAATTGTCTGGAGAATCATTGATTTATAGAAAATTTTAATATCTCATCTTAAAAAACAATCCAACAAACAACATAGCCATTCATTTATGATCTTCGTCCCATTCATTCCTGACATTCATTCAAGCCATCATCCTGACCAGTAAAGATGAGCTTGCTTCTGTCTGATAGTTTTCCACAGCCTTAAAACTTTTTTCTTTCTCTATAGCCCTTCTTTGGTCCTTTGAATATTCAAGAATTTTGTTACCAGAGGAAGACCAAATTGGTGTGAGGTAACAAAAGAATATTTTTGTAACCAAAAAAGAAATAAAATGAGTTACAATTTTGTGCTTGAGTTCTAAATTCAGTTTGAAATAGGGTTTGGGACATGTTAGACTTTACTTTAAATTTGTCATTTTTATTGGGAATAACCTATTTGAAATTTTGAATCTCAGAATTATTGTATGAATTGTGCTTTTTACATGTGTTCAGTGTTTCTTTAAAAAATTTTGGTTGAATCAGGGTGATTTTTCTCAAATAAGATTTACCATGAACAATGAAAGGGCTTCTATAGGGCAAGTATTTTTCTTTAACTTCATTCCTTTTTTTTTTTGCACTTATTGTGTATGGCTTCTTTTCTTATATGTGGACCAAATGCTATTCCCTATATGAAGAGATAATCTGCTTCAATTAACCCTTGGCATCTTAATACCCCCCTTTTTAAAAAAAAAATAGGAAGCAAATTATCTGTGTGTATAGCGAGTAAGGAATGGCGGTCTTGATAGAGGTCACTGTACATGGACGGAAATACTATGACCGTCATAAATTTCTTCATCAATTCCAATAATTTGTGGCCATCAGACACTTAATTTATATGCTTGAACACCTAATATGTACATTTATTGGTGAATTGGCCAGCGGATTTTAGATAAATGATTATGTTCTGGAAAATGCTGCAATGCAGTATTTTTTTCCAATGTCATTAAGAATTTGGGGGTTGCAAAAGGACATAAACATTCTCAGAGCTTTTATCTTACTGTTTTCCAGTTGATGGACCATGTAATATAGAATTGGCAAAGTCTCTTTTTGAAAATGTAGTCAACTTTTTTGCCTACCATCCATTTGATAAATATGTGGTAAGTTTGTATATGTGAGAGAGGGAAACTGCGTGTGTACGTGTGTATTAGTGTAAGTATGCATATTTTGGAAACCTACACCTATATGAGGATTTTCCTCACTTGGTATTACCACATGTGTATGTACACTTGCAAGTATATGTGCTTCTAAAAGTGGAAAGTAAACCAAATTGGGCTACTTTGTGGACTTCCACTAGCAACAAAATTTGTGAGCTAGAAAATGTCCTTTCAATCCATAGGTTATATTTAAATTACTGTGTATTGTGTGTGTGTGTGTGTGTGTGTGCGTGTGCACGCGTGCATGTGCGTGTCCTTTCAGTCCATGGTGGATTCAAATTAATGTGTGTGTGCATGTGCATGTGCACATGTGAGTGTGTGTGTGTGTGTGTGTGTGTGTGTAAGGAGGGTTTTCTTCTGAAGCTTTTAATCACTGGAGAAAAGGAAGAGATAGGGTGGTAGTGCTAGCATGCCTTAGTGTGTGTGTGTGTGTGTGTGTGTGTGTGTGTGTGTGTGTGTTTTAGGAGCATCATTGAATTGATTTTTCAATCTCAGCATATTTTAAGGGTGGAGGGCTTTTATAGGTCAGCAGTTTTCTAAGGGTAAAAATAAAGGTGATCTGTGGGTGTGTGGAAGTACCACAGCAGTAATTGTCATAAATCAGCCATCTAGAAATGGAAATGGAAAAATGGCTGCAGGACAAGAGTTGAGAGGGATACCAACATGTGGATCTGCACCTTGCTGGCATAAGAGATAATGAGTGATAAATTTGAACTGGTGCAGTGCGGGATGCCCGATAATTTCTCAGAACCTTGACTTTGCAGGTTCATTACTTCCTTGCTTGCTTGTTCACACCTTTAATTATATCCAGTTTGGGAAGCTTGCTGGGGGCACCAAAGATGAGCCATTTTGTTTGTTGTTTACTTCATTAAATATTCAGACAGTGTGTTCACAATAGCTGTGAAGCATCAGTGTTAGGAATCAAGCACTTTGAAAATGGAATTGTTACAAAAGAGCAAGAAGCAGTCAGTCAGCTCGTTTGCTTTGGATATTCATATCCATTTTGCTTAATGGTACCATTTGTGCTGTTCCTTGTACATCCATTAAGAAATGACTTATACTGTGTCTAGTGCTTAGTAGGCTAGTGTCCTCTCTCTCTCTCTTTCACGCTCTTATGCATATCTATATGTAGATATATCTTTCTCCGTATGCTCTCCGCCTATTAGTAATATTTTGCCTTTCGCTGGACCATTTTAGTACTGCGTCTTTTTGCTTTGGAGAAGATCATCAGGTCCTCATTGGATCTAGCAGCAGAAAACACTTCCGTCTCAATATGACCCCACTCAAGGATCAAGAAATGCCATATAGGAATTCTTAAATAAATTTTGGTTGATAAAGTAGTGAAAATGTTAAGAAAAAATAAGGTCAGTGTAGTTGTTGTACTTGCTTTTTTATTTTTGTGCTGGTTCGGGAAAAGACATATTTAACCACAAAGTAAAATGCAAAACGAGCACAATGTGATTTTTCTGTGTGTGTGATTGTTTTGGCGGGGCCACAAATGGCTGTGTTCAGGGCTTACTCCTAACTCTGTGTTCAGATATCACTCCTAGAGGGGCTTGGGCGGGGGAGCATATATGGTACTCAGAATTCAACCTGTGTTGGCTTCATGCAAGGCAGATACCCCACTTACTCTACTATTACTCTGGTCCCACATGATTTTTTTAATGGAAAAAATGACAAGTCATAGGTTTGACCTGAAATTAATTTCCTTTGGATTCTTGGTTGCAAAAATAACATTTAGATTCAAGTTCAATTTTAACTTACTTGTTTTAAAGCTATAACATTAAATTTATAAATATTTTTCTAGAAGTATAGTTTGTTTTTCAGTATATGAATTAACATATAAACAACTCTAGCCAAAATGGCAAGTTCTGAAAAACACACTTCAGCATTGAAGTTTTCTGTTTTCCCTTTGTGGCATTGAATCTATTTCTGCTGGTCCTATGAATTTGTCACCTTTTATTGTCTAAAAACTAGTCCTATGAATTGTTTTGCCAACTGTGTTCACAGCAAAGACTAGATTATTGAAGACAGAGATATAGAGAGCTGGCTCGCTTTGCATACTGCCAACCCATGTCCAATTCTCAGTATTGCATATAGTCCCTGGCCACTACCAGGAGTGATTACTGAGCATCACAAGGTATTACCACCACCACCACCCCCCAAAACTGACTATCTTATCATTCATAGTTGGATGAAAATATTGCTGAGGATTTACTAAGTGAATTTGTTTGGAATGTGAAATTCAAGGTCACCACTTCCTTTTCTTCTGACACTGATAAAAAGACATAATTTTAGGTTAAATCCCTATAACTGAGTATAAAAATAAGGAAAGAGCTTTCAAGTTAAGTGTTACACCGTAAGACTCATGTCAAATTATGTGAAAAGATCTGTTGGAACATTCAAGTACATAGATGTTTTTCTCTTGTATTTGTAAAAGTCTAGGCATAATTAAAAAGATAGAAATGAAAGATCTCTTTGGTCATTTTTGTTTGTAAGATTCCATACATCCAGATGTCTGCTCTCGGGAAAATTTATGATTTGGGCAATTCGAAGAAAATTGTCTATCCACCGCCCATGGAGCTTAGCTGGAGCTTGTTAATTTTACAGAAATATGAATGCCTTGCTTCTGACAATGATGACTCTTTAAATACTTTTTCTATTTCTCTCTTCTCCCAGTAAGGGTAAAAGAAGATGCCTCTCTTCACATTTTCCTATGCAGATTGGAAGCACACTGACTAGTGGGTCAGAAATCACAGAGCTACTTTGTCATACAGACCTTGATACTGTAAAACTGCTGCACATTCATTTGCATGTAGGGGTTGGGTGGTGGGTGAGAGTGGTGGAGAGAGAGAGAGAGAGAGAGAGAGAGAGTAGTTGTGACCCATAGTGTTCCCTGAGATGTACCACTAATGGTTTCTCAAGTAGTTTGTATATTTTCCTAAGATGACAAACTAAACTCTTTAGAGTTGTGCTTTGTAATTTGTACATGAAAAATAAGAGATCTGAGTTGAACTTTTTTTCCAAGTGTTCCTTTGAAGATGTAGCCATAGTAAATACAGTGTTAATGCTAAACTTTAGCTTTAAGTGCTATTTAAAAGTCTGTAGTGGAAAGCCTGCGAACTTGCAATCTTTACTAATGAACCTTTCATTAGGAAAGTGCTCACTTAAAATGGAGTAAACGACTAAGTTCTTGCAATTTGTGATTTTGACCAGATTTGACTCATCCTTTCTTCTATTACTTTTTGTAAGGCGGCCAACCACACATCTAAAAATTCTGGATATTGTACACATCTTTAATATTAATTATCTCTGTTGACATTGGGTACAGACAGTACAATTCCCAAAAGTCCAGATTCTTACTGTAACATCAAAACAAAGTGATATTTATGAATAATATTGGGAAACTTGACCTCATAGTAACTGTACCCCAACGGAACATTTATATTAAATGTGCATTTGTGATTTAGATTATTTAAAGGGCATCTTTAGCTTTTAGTTTTGAATTTGGGCTAAAATATGTAAATTGGTTTTATTTTTGAGTTCCTCTGTTTTAGGTGACTTTGGGGGAAGATAACTTCCAGCTTGATTATATTTTAATCACCTTTGTAGTAGAGAAGTTTCTATCTTGATAGCAACCTGTTTATTGTTTGTTTGTTTGAGATTCTGGACCACACCTGCTGATGCTCAGAGAGTCCTGTCTGCTCTGGGTGTTTGGGAACCTATGTGGTACTGGTTCCGGGAATTGAACTCACAGCATCCACATCAAAACATGCATACCATCCTGTTGAGACATCTGCCCAATCCCTCAATCTGGTTATTGTGATTAGGACCCAGTATACTGATGAGACTAAAAACATTACATTGACTTGCACACATGTAGAAAACTTAGATGTGTTTCTACTAAACATCACAATTCCCAGAATGGTTTTGTTGGTGGTCCACAGAACTCCAAGGCCACAGAATGCTAAGTCTGCCTCTAGACTCCTCTTGTACCTATGCAAGCAAGCCTTTGGAAAGATGGCTCTTTCTTTTATGAGACCAGGATAGGGAAAGGACTTTAATGTTCAAAAGATGAAGTTAGATTCCTGACTTTTCCA